TTGTTAACTTCAATTTCGGAGAACGCTAGCGTATTGATTTTTCGAGATAAACGAGGTAATTCAGCGATTTCATTTACTCTAGGGCATGCCAACAAATCGCCAACGACGAAACAGAAGATAGGTGACTTGTCGAGTTTGATAAATGATCCTGATATAGATGACAGTAAGTAATATTTACTAACTGACAGTGACACTAAGTGACAAAGATAATCAGTATGGTAATAACATTGATCCTGTTTCAAAAGTTATAAAACTTAAGCCACACATTAGACAGTTGCAGAAAATTCACAAGCTGGTCGAAATACAACATCTTCGTTATTTTTTCAGAAGATTTTTCTGGCTTAGCGTCCTGAAAAGAGGTTTAAAAAGGATCAAATTTCAGCCATATCCTCTGCGAATCAACTCCGATTTTACATATTCTTTTAAGATATAAACTTGAGATAAGAAGCTTCAACACGCCTGAGTTCGTAGGTGTTGGCAGCAAATCGACAAAAGATATTCATATTTGAAATTTTGTGTACATTAAAGTAATCAAAAGCACGCGCATTATCGATAATAAATTCTCTCTGACAGCAAAATGCACACTAAATCCGTACTCAGAGTGATATTGTACATATCTATTAAATTAGTTTGTATTCACACTAAAAATGTTCAGAAAAATGGCCACAAGAACTAGGCATATCAAAATCTACTTTTTCTTCTATTTTCGCCAAAGACTTGCTTGCCCCAGGCTACTTCCGCATCACACGTCGATCAGCGCGCGCGCGCTCGTTGCACGACCCTGTATATAAGCGCCCTGGAATTTCGAGTGAATTACTGCTTCTGGCAGGAATCGAAAAGAAAATTTCCATCTACGAAACTCTTCAATTGACAGTGGTGTCTATTCATTGACTATATCTTTCTGTCATGTTTCGCTCGCTACTCTGGTTTAAATAAATGATTACAAAGCCCAGTCGAATTGTAATCAAGACCCAACGTTTCGACACTCCAGTCTAGTGTCTTCATCAGGAATATATGCATCTCATTGGCAGGTGACGTCATCCCTTGGGTATTTGAGAAGCCACGATTGCAATTTTAGATCACCCCTGATGAAGACACTAGACTGGAGTGTCGAAACGTTGGGTCTTGATTACAATTCAACTGGGCTTTGTAATCATTTATTTAAACCAGAGTAGCGAGCGAAACGTGACTGTCGTTGAAGTTTAGTGAACTAAAATTACCCTGTTTAATCATGCCAAAATAATTTATTTTACTGAAACTAAACTAGAATTAAACTCAAAACACCATACTAAAACAAAAACAACTGCAGGTTTTTGGATATTCCAGTTCCTCCTCTGGTAACATTGGGTGAATAAGGTATAAGCTTTTACTGGACGTCTTGGGGGAAAGTTTACAACGGATAAATCTATCTAGAAAATAAAATTGGTGAAGATTCCTTATGCAGTAATGCTGGACAGATAAGAGAATAAGAGATGACTCCCAACGGACCTCAAGGCAGTTTCAAACTAATAGATCTATTATACTACATTACCTGTATAGTAATTAATCGCTTTAGCCTTTGCAAATTTACAAGAAAGTAAACACAAAATAATTTTCTAATTTCCAGATGTGAAAAATGGGAATCTTTTGGGTACTATCACAGAGACAGACAAAGAGACTGCGGAATATAACGGGAATGATGCGGACACTTCGAGCGGAACATTAGAAATGCCAAGTGGCGATGCCTCTGGTCTTCTCACGACACAGACAACTACAGATAGTGAGAAAACCCAACCCGATCAGTGCGATAGTAGTTTCTCCACAATGTCATCCGAAGTAGGATCTCCTAACTTGTCTCTGACTGAAGGCAGTGGATTGAAGGAGAGTCTGTCTGAATCTTATGTAAAACTTCCAAATTAGAAACTATACACTCACACAAGATCTATACTGCGAGAGAATTCGGGACTGTATGCAAATATTACGTGTCAAATTTAGCCAAATTTCTCCCAATCGTGCGGGCTCGTATTGTCAGCGAACATCTTACACAAAATGGCCAGTTCTGTGCAAAATGCAAAACTTGGTTATAGATTCATGTCTCGCTATTTATGAATGCTAACCCTAATCCCCACCCTGACCCTAACCGCGAACCCTAACTAATAAACAGCGAGACATGTATATCCCAAAACTTGCAATTTTTCACCGCAAGTCTACTGGAAAATGTGAGCCTGCGGTACTGGGAGAAAATCATAGATATCTTGTATACACTAGAGATGGCGCAGCTCTTTTAGTAAAATTGAAGCCAAGAATATTCCAGCGGTTACCCCCATTTGAATAGATGGCGGCCATGTTGGTAGTTCCCACTCGCTAATAAACGCTTAGCTTAATGTTTAAGTTCCTTGTTTAAGAAATAGAAAACATACGAAACTTCCTATTTCATGGGAAGATCCTGAGCCTGCAGTCACGGCTTCAATTTTTGAATTGCAGAATAATTAGATGCACTATCTAGTGTATATAAGATATCTATGGAGAAAATTTGCTGAATATGACCAGCGGGTTCCTCCACTTTGCCTTGGGGAGGAGGGCATTTTGATCGCCACCATATGATCATCTTATCTTGCTGGAAATCTCAACTCGGCCTTAATTTCATGCAATAAATAGTTCCATTTATAGCCTGCGAATACTTTCATATTTGAAAAATTATTTTTGCGCGGCATTCATATCGAGGGCTATCAGATATTAAAAAACATATTTTGATAACAAAAATTTTGGGCAAATGCAAAGGGTGGACAAAAAGCCAACCGTAGCGTCAGAAAAGGGGGGACCACAGCAATATTTTTTTAATAAAAAAATATGCCTCAACCTACATCAAATTATTAAAATTTTCAAAACGTGTTTTCATCAGTCGAAAGTAATTGTTTTGACGAAAGAAGAGGTATTCTTTGAATTTTAAAAATTTGCTGTGTAAAAATTCCCTTTTCTGAGGCTAAGGTTGCCTTTGGTCCCCCTTTGCATTTGACCAGAAATTTTTAATTTTTCAAAACATGTTTTTATAAGTGGAAAGTAGTGTAATTGTTTTGATGAAAGAAATGGTTTTGGACAGTTTTCCGGAACGTTTGGAGATAGTGAAAGTGCCTTTCCTGGAAGGTCGAAGTGTTGTTTTTTTCTTCTGATAGTTAATATGGATAAAGAGTAAATATTAAATAACATGATCTTTTGATTTCTCAAATATCGCAAACTATCTTAGCCTCGCCTTTGCATAGCCTTGCCTTATGCTTATGACAGCCTGCAAAAATATCTTAGCCTCAAAGACAGACTGCAAAAAAAGCCAAAAATATCGGGGCAACTTACGATGTTCGCCAGCTGATTTGCTTGAAAATTTAAATTTACAACTAGAAGTGAGACGGACTCCATGAAATCAATCTTTTTGTAGAAAACACACCGCACCCAACCTAAAATAATATTTTCGACTAAATAATAAAACAGGTAACACATAAAACCTCAGAAATACAGAAACTGACTTATCACGTCCTATGTCGAAGAGAAGAATTTGGTCTTCCAAAAAAACGATCTTCCAATTATGAGGTAAAAACTACCGCACCCATAAGCTTCTTTAAAACGATTCTGAGTTGAAGCTGGCATTGTATGTTTGGATTAAATTTGCACTCATTCACACGCCCCTCATGAAAACCAGCTAACAGTTGATGAGGCTAGCGTGTTAAATAAAGTCTATATGCGTATGTCTTACCTTTATGCCTATAGCCTTGCCTAATGCCTATATCCTTTGCCTATATAGCCTTGTCTAATGCTTAGTTACCTGAACGAGTTACCTTGCTTACATGGATTATCCAACTCTTCACCTCCTTTTTCGGAGTATATTGCGCAGATTATTATGTGTTTACAATGTTTACTCTCATCTACACGCGTAAAAACGCCCAAGTTGTTACAGATTTGCAAACAATTAGTTGTTACACATCTGTTCACAAGCTGTCGACAAGTTGTGTTCGCACTGCTTGTTCCCAGTTGTTGTAACAAGTTTGAACCAAGCTATTAACAACTTGTGACAAGCTTGATAGCATTATCAGACTTGTTACAAGGTTGTTCTAACAAGTCTGATACAGTCGTGATATAACAAGAATGTTACAAGGTTGTAACAATCTTGTTACGTCAAGACTGTAGCAGACTTGTTGGAACAACCTTGCAACAAGTCTGATAATATCAATAAGGTTGTTACAATTTGTTAACAGCTTGTTCCAAACTTGTTGACAACTTGGGACAAGCAGTGCGAACACAACTTGTGAATAGACATACTTAAGCCCATTTTCCACTGGACGATTTTGTTCGCGCAAACAGTAAAAAAGTCTGATTTGTTTCATTGCCAAGGTTTGCAGTCACATTGTCGAGATTTGTTTTTCGCTTTGCGCGAACAAATTCGGCTAGTGAAAAAAGGGTTTTGGGGGATAGATCATTATTTATGGCGGGGGGTGTCAGTGTCACCGCGAAGAGAAATGTGTTTCTTGGTAAACATTTTGCTGATACAACATTAAAAATTAGTCGACCCTGAATACAATTAAAAAATAAATACCCACCCTGGCCGAAAACTTCACAAAACAGCTTCTCTCATTCCAGCTTTTACAGATTAAGCTTTTCTCATTCCGGGTTTTACAGATTACAGCTTTCTCATTCCAGGTTTTACAGATTAAGCTTTTCTCATTCCGGGTTTTACGGATTACAGCTTTTCTCTTTCCGTGTTTTACAGATTCCGACTTTTTCCATTCCGGGTTCTACAGATTCCAGATTTTCTCGTTTTACAGATTCCGGGAGAATTTATCAATGTATTTAAAGTACCTCGGATTGGCCAATCACAGCCACAGCCGGGTTCGTCAGTGCTCTTGCTTTAGCCAATAGCGTGGCTGCATTTTCTTACACGAGGTAGCCGGAAAATACGAAATTCTTTGCTTTGGTCTTTGGAGTAAAATTTGGGCAACTTTCATCTCTGGCGAAGTTGTTCGAAGCATTTGGAGACGAAAATTATGGCCGAAATTGCTCAATTTATCTCGCCTTTGAAGCGAAAGTCAGATTAGCTTCTCTGCTACACTTATTGGTGCAATGAACAGGTAAAATACTCTTTATTTCATGTTTATTTGTGTATTTATTCGAGCTGACTACGAGACGAGTTAAACACGTGGGCGAATTTGCCGTCATGTTTAACTTCGATTTGGTGAAATTCCTGCTCAAATATCAAGGGTATTTCGTTGAAAGAAGCTTTAAAAACCTTTGTATATAGCTAACGTTGCTCACGTTTTATTTTAGATGGAGTATTTCACGAGTTAAAACCAGTTTAAACGTCGACGAAAGCTGCGTACAAAATATTCAATACAACCTCAAAAATTCCTCAAATTATATCGCCTTTGAATTGTTTGAGAAGAAAACAAGATTAGCTAACTTGGTTAAACAAACAGGTAATTATATTTATAGTCTAAAAATCACTTACATCTCTATTAAACCACTTACATCTCGACTTAAATGCGAGACGAACAGAGAACAAATTGTAAAATGCCTGTCGAATGCATGAATAATTTCACTTTGCCTTGGCTTTGCGAAACCCATCGGCACAAATACCAAGCCCAAGCGTATTTCGTTTAAAAACTTTAAAATCTTTGTAGATAGCTAACATTGCTTCTGTTTTATTTCAGATAGAGTTTGACGAATTGAGCAATTCAAACGTATAGACGAAATCTGTGGACAAGATCAGTTCAACAAAGCCGAAAGTTACGTTCGGAATTGGTCAAATTGTCTCGCGTTGGCTTTGAAGAGAAAGCAAGATTAGCTTCTCTTCCACAGACACAGTGACTTCGTGGAAAGAAGTCAAATAACAGGTATAAAAATACATTGTTCGTGTTTGCTTTGCGTATTTGCACGACATACAGGGTGTCTAAGACCTGTTTTATACGTCGAAAAAAAAAACGCTATGGAAATTCAACAGGCTGTCGTGCATCAAGCCTGCCGCACACGAGAGCTATCTGCTGAGCAAAAAGTTACTCGTGCCTGTTAGCTCAGCCGATAGCTCACCGTGTGCGGGTACATTTTACTGAGTTTTTTGCCTCATGCAACCTTTTATCACGTATCAAACATGTTTTATCGGTGAGCTATCGGCTGAGCTAACAGGCACGAGTAACTTTTGGCTCAGCAGATAGCTCTCGTGTGCTGCAGGCTTCAGGAACGTGGCTAAACAATTCAATTTTTACATAGGACGAAAGAAGAGTTAATTAGCTTTTCAATTAAACTCTTTTTAAATCGCAACGACGAGAAATGGCCACATACTGGTCAAATAAAAATTGCCGGTCGAAGTTACATTCTTTCACCGTCATTTCCAAGAGGGAATTAAAATTGAATGTGTGAGACAATTTGAGACAATAAGAATTAAGAACGTCCATTAAACATGGTTCAATTAACCACTGAACAGAGAGCATTCGTAAATCACATTCGTAATCAATAAAGTTTACAAAACAAATAGCTTGCAGCAGACTCGCGTTGCTTTACTATGCTTTGCATAATTAATGACATGTCTGTACTAAAACCACTAATTCTGTTTTGTGATTGTCGCGGTTTAATCAAAGAATCGCCCCGTTGAACCAGAGCCTTCGCGACATTTCAATTTATTATTTACTGTCGAAGGCTCTGGAATCCAGGGTAGTATAGGAGACGAGCACGACAAATGTTGAAACACGTGGTCGAATTTGCTTTCGCCTTCGTTCGCTTTGACGAAAACTCCAGTTCAGATTTCTTACAGATTTTGTTGTAATATACTTCAATAAAAACCGTCCAAGATAACTAAGACCTAACTAACGTTGGTTTTTTGTATTTTGGGTGGAGTTTCAGCGAATTAAGCTAATTTACACGCCGAAACCCAAGCCGTAACC